CACAGCCCCAGGTAGCACGGCCTCAGGGGGCACAGCCCCAGGTAGCACGGCCTCAGGGGGCACAGCCCCAGGTAGCACGGCCTCAGGGGGTACAACCCCAGGTAGCACGGCCTCAGGTTGGCCAGGGCTCTGTAGTCAGGACTGGGGAGGACCCGAGGCACGGGCAGGGGAAATGCTTATTCACTCTGTTTATTTTTTATCTTTATGATTTGTTTTTTATTGCCAGTTTCCCTGTTGTCTCCTAGCAAAAGACTTAATCTCTGCCAGTCCTAGCTCTTTGTACAAATACGTCAGAAGGGAAATGTGAGCTTTTGGTTTGTACAAAATAGCCAGATTGGTGGTGTCCTTCACTGATGTTTTCAGCAGTGATCTCACAATGAATGGAAATACCCATTTTACTTTCTGCTGGATGGTTACAGTAAATATCACACCTGTGGAAAATCTAAATGATTCCCATGTAACGTGAAAAGCAGACCCTCTGACTTCAGGGCTTGAATTTAAAGTACCGGGTGTTCATCAAATCAAACGCTTGACTGGATAAGTTTGTACATAGCTTTTTACTTTACAAAAGATGTCAGCACTGAAATATTTTCATTATTATTATTGATAGATATGGGAAATTTCTTTAGATATGTCTTTTGAATCACAAGTTAAGGCTGTCCTTGAATATTTTTTCCACTAGGTAAGTGTGTGTACCTGGTGTGTGAAGCCGTTGTTGCAGGGCTGCTGCACTGAACTGCTAGTCTTTATTAATGTCCACCCAAGGACTTGAGTTGTCTACCAAGAAAGATAAATTAAGCAATTATGATAAAATTAATATAGAACCATTTTGCATAGACTCATCACGTTGGATTTTGACTTAAATAATTCTAAAAACTTAATAAATTCAGTAACCAAAATAATTAGATTTCATTCCTTAATTCTTTCAGTTCTAAAACATTAGCCTAATATCCTTTCTACTATAGAAAAGTACAGATTACACTAGAAAAATTAGACTATATTGTGATATTTTAAAAGCCTCTCTTAACTCATATTTGTAATATATATTGCAGTTCATAGAAGAAATGTGAAGTCTGTAAGTGATCCTATAATTGTAAAATAAATTTGGAAGTATAGTTGCCCTGAACCAAAATATTTTGTCATTGCAAATGAATCTTATAAAAATGTGTAAGATGGATTATATACTGTTGGTTCTTAGCAAAAGGGAAAACACTGATCTTAGTTCTGGAACCTTCTTCGACTCAGTCCAGAGGACTCGCTGACCATGTAATGTAATCTCGTAATCTTGTTCCCCAGAAGGCCTTCCGAGCAGCCCCCCACAGCTAGCTGTGACGTACAGGAAATTCTCAGGCTGCTAGCCAGCCAAACTTGACTGGTTTTCCTCTGCAGTAGAGAAATGGAGAACGGCCTTATTCTCCTGCCCATAGAAAATGACGCTTTATAAAATATTAGAAAGACAATCCTGCTATAAGCAGTAATTTGGTCAACTGTTTCCTCTTTTGCTATAGCAATAAAACCCTTAGGAACACCAGTAAACAACCCTGTCCTTTCTGTTCTCCTGTGAAGTATTTGGTTCCTACAGTCAGCAGCCTTTGTCTTCTCCGTGATTCATTCTGTGACATTGATTAGAAACCAGAAATGTGACCAACATATTCACCTTGCCTGTGTGTGCCCCAGGGAGGAGGGGTTCATTGACGCAACTGTGTAATTAAATAGAAAATGTTCACCCTTTATTGTGTATATTTGGTGTATCGCTTCATTGTAGCTAATATTTTAATGGCATAGGGTTTTCTGTGCCTGCCTCAAAAGCAGTTCACCTTCTTGGAAGCCCATTGTTTTTGGTAAACTGTGCTCTGTCCCCCATTTTTCATAATGCGCATTCAGCTCTGCTGATTTTTAGGTGAAACTACAAGAAGAGACTCGGCAGCTAGACTCCGCCTACTTCAGGAAGCTGCAGGCTTTGCATAAGGACACAGTTTCCAAGAAGGCTGAGGTAAGACTCTGCACTTCGAATCCAGAGACAGTGCCATCTTGCACACTGCTGGTGAGCGATCTTATTTTTGAGATGTAGAGTAGTTAAGGACTTGGATGTGGCACCACCCTGCTGCCCCACGGCCATACTTGCTACGTTTGACAGGTCATGGTGCTAAAGTGTCATGTTCAACATGGTTGAAAAAACTAGGTTGGCAAAGTGACAGAGGGACTTCCCTAAGACCAGAAACTTGAGCCTTAAACTTCACAATAATCCCTTAAACGGCACCCATTATTTCCTGTGTGTTGGTAACTGCATTTGTTGTCAGATTACAGGGGTCCATTTGCATTTTCTGAACAAAAAGAAACTCTCAGATTTTTTAAAAAAGAAAAATGGGGAAAATAGTTGGAAAAGTCAGTAAAAAGATTATAGGATTGGGTAGGATATTAACTCTTATCTTTATTTACAAAATGGTGACGTTTGTTTGTTTGAAAACCGAGTGGCCTTTCCCTAGTATGTAGCTGAGGAGACCTTGTGCTCACCCTCCTCTGGATACTGCCTCTCAAGTACTGGGAGAGATTACATGTATGTGCTATCATGACCAGCTTAAATTTTCAAGTTTTATATTGATTAGATAAATCTTGATATGCCCATAAAACCATAAAATTAATGAACACATCTACATAAAATTTGCAGTTAATTGATCAGTTCAGGACATACAGTTATATAAATATACGGAATAAAAACACTAATGTCAAGCCGGGTGGTGGTGACACACACTCCTGCCTTTAATCCCAGCACTTGGGAGGCAGAGGCAGGCGGAGCTCTGTGAGTTCGAGGCCAGCCTGGTCTACACAGAGAGTTCTAGGACAGCCAGAGTTTTAGACAGCGCCTATTTCAACAAAGTGAACAAAAACCAACCCTCCACTCATACCATGTAACCCTGCTCATGTAACATTACATATATTTACACATGTGTACATATATGCAAAGAGAGAAAACTGGGAAGAAGTTCACCAAAATAGGAGAGATAGTTCTGAGTGCTGGGTTTGAGTGACTTTTAGTTTCTTTTTTGTGTTGGTTTTTATATAAATAAGGTGGTTTTTTTTTTTTACAAAACAATAGTTTTTAAAATAAAACTTAGTAGTTGCTTTGTTGGTGCCAAAGTTCTCTATTTGATGTACTATTCATTCAAACCTGGGAAGAACGTAGGCATTCGGAAAGGTCCTATGTAACAATGATGTGCTTTAAGTTCCGGGGGCAAAATTCATAATGCTATACATAATTCTTCCATATAAGGAGCATTGCTTTTTGAAATATTCATAGTTTATCTCACGACTGCACATTTTAAAAAACTAATAGAGAGGTAAGTTATCCATACTAAAAATCATATGTGATTTGTGCTGGAGAGATGACTCAGTGGTTAAGAGTCACTGAGGACCTGGGCTCAATTCCCACCATCACATATGGTGGCCCACATGTGTCTGTAACTCCAGTTCCAGGGATCTGATGCTGTCTTCTGACCTCTGCACACATGGTGCACATACATACATGTAGGCAAAATACTCATCTAATAAAATAAATTTAAAAACTTTTAAATAATTATGGGAGAATATCTAATACCATTATGAATTATTAAAATAAAAATATAGTTACAAAACCATAGGTACATGATCATATTCCTTATTTTAAATAAACTACATATGTACACATATGAACTTGTGCTCATGCACAC